CCCCCCCCAGGCTAAAGGTTCACAATCCCCCAGTGGTTTTGTGGCCTTGGTCACTGGAGTTGGAAGAACAGGAAGATTTCCCCTCACATCATGTAGCAGTGACATCTCAAAATATTGGATTTTCCCTCACTTTTTGTCGCAGTGGCCATGCTCATCAGGACCAACAGAGACAATGGATCTCCACACAGACAGAAATAAAAACATGATGGGGGGTTCCAATTCTTATCTATTATATCCAAAACTAAAAAAAGTTTGGAATTTAGATATCATTTAATGCTAATTACTTGTGCTTCCTTGGGGTCTCATTGCAAGGGGCATTGCATGTAAGGTCTAAGCAAAAAAGTGTACATTTTAACAGCCCAACATCACCCCTGGCCATGGCCATACAGCTTCCTTTGCTGGGCCATGGATTTAAAAATGAACTCCATCAGATATGAGTGCAGCTTATGATTACTTACTTTTTTAGTATAGATATACTTTAAAAGATACATTCTGATTGGTTGCTTTGTAGCGTAGCATTGAGATGCAGCTTTTTATCTCCTTCTATAGGTATGGATTACAACTGGACAGTACATCTAGTGACTATGGCTCAATGGTTTGCAATGCTACTGGCACCTATGTTGGTAAGTTGTGGATTACGAGTTTGAGATTGTGAGTTTTTTTTCTTGTGGAATGTATTGAGATGGGCAGGCTTAACCAATATTGTTTTTTTGCAGGCCATCACAATATCAGTTTTATTTTGGACAGCAATTATGGACGGTGAGTTACACTTTAGATAACACATTACACCTCATATATTTCCTTCAAGGGAAAATATTGCACATCAGCACTATCCAAAGAGCTGATTTTATCTTCTGAGATAAGGATAACAGTAACAGTCGGATGCCAAGCATCTGGAATTTTCCATTACTTGGACTGAAAGCCTGATCCAGCCAAAAAACTGGCAGATTGCAGGACTATCACCTAACGGCTGTGGAAGTCCTAAGGTTTTATTGAAAGTTATGGGAGTGTCACTGATCAAAACTTTTTCAGATCAGTTTGCACGATGTCTAGCAAACAATACACACTCTTGGGTGATTTGTAATCTTTTTTTCTCACAGCAGTTGCAATGCTGATTGCACTGTTTACCATACAGACAGCATTTCAATAATGAAAATATGGCGATGATTTAAAAATAATTAATTCTTGTCACAAATGAATAAACTATTTTCTAAACTATGCACCTTTCCCTGTTATTCTGCAATGTACTAGTTGCCTCGACATGTGCAAAATTGTCTAAATGTTTTCATGAGCAGTGTCAAGCTGATTAGTCCAGTATAGACCCAACCTGACAATACCAGCAACATTTATGAGACAGCAAACACCCCTTGTATCGGTCTTTTGTTGCCCTAAAGAACTAGATTTTTGTTTTTTCCATTACAGGAGTTTACCAAGTCTATCCACCTACTTTGTGTCTTCCCTCAATAAAATTGCCATGTTCCAGACCTATGCAGGTAACAAGAATAATAATTTACCTATTTAATTAACCCTTTATATAAAAAACAAACAAAGCAAAGAACATCTTTTCCGGTACTCTTTCGTTCAGAGATAACAAGGATTTTCCCTGCTTCTGGAAGCATACAAGGAGGCACAGTTATCACCATCAGTGGACAGTACTTCGATGAGACTGACCTTCCAGCCAGAGTCCTTGTAGGAGGTATGTCCTTCTTGTTTGTAGACTACCAGCATTAAAAATGCTTTATTGTGTGGGCAACAGGGACAAATGAATTGTGTCATTCATACTATTGCCTAGAACTGCAATGCATCATACACTCAAATATTTATGCAACTCTTTCAGCAGTAATGTACTATAACACCAATCGGTTCAAAGGGATTTTAAGTGAATTAGCACTGACCCTCAATATAGGGTCAGTGCTATAAGATCCTATACAAATATCAACCATACCCCATGGTTAGCAGGAAGAACAGTGAACCTGCTCTTACCCCAACCAACCTGCCCTTACCTGCTGTGTAGAAAGGAGACAACAGTCCATTTGTGTATCCTTTTGGTTTATGTCCAGTCCAATCCCAACTGCAGCCTTCCTAAGATCCTATACAAATATCAACCATACCCCATGGTTAGCAGGAAGAACCCTGTGGACTGTCTTTCTATTCTGGCAATTGGTTATTCAGGCACCAATAATCATATTTTAAGGGGGCATGGGAGCAGGCATATGTGCCTAATACCCAAAAGTAGTACAGATTGAAGAGATGGACAGGTTGCAGTATGGTAAGTAGCAAAACAAAAGGGAGGAGGGCTTAGGTTCTTTTCTTCAGGTTTCCTTTAAATTAGAACTCTAGGTGCCAATCTAAATACACAATTAAAATACACACATGGCTGTAAAAATATATAGTTATAAAAAAAATTATTACATGCAATTTTGACTGCACTAAATTAGGTGATTGATCAATAAAACATTGTTTTTTGTGGAAAAGAAAAGATCAGACCTAATGGAAATCCAAGCGGAATTCCATCAAGATGAACTATCTTTTGTTGTGTTAAACACTTATTTAAAAATAAATGCTGATGTAAATGCTCAAATCTATGATTGATTGTTTATGGTTAAGTGTATGGCCAGCAGAAATGGAAGCCTTTATCCTGGGGTCAATCAGGCTCTAATGCAATACACAATGCTAGTTGGCCATACACTGGTAGAGTTTTGTATGAACATTCAGAAACTTGTTGAACATTTGATTTTGCAATGAGTTTCCTGAATGAAAACCACATTCACTGTTAGAATTTTGTCGATTTTACCCAAGTAATCATTAGAAAATTGAATAATCGTTCCAAAACGGAATTTTGTTTGAGTTGAATTCTACTGGTGTATGGCCAGCTTTAGTCTAGCATGTTTTTAGTCACTTGGAGATTGGGCAGCTTACAGGAAAAAAATGCACGGGGGGACCTCTACAGTGTGATGGTTATCTATCATCCAATGAGCAGAAAGACAGTAAAACAGAAAGCTGCAAAGCTAGAGTATTGATTAAAGATGTCACCTGACTATGCAGTTGCAATGATGTATTAATCATAAGACTGGCTAAAGAGGATTATAAATCATTTGCCAGGAAAAGAAGATCACATATATATGAATTTCAGGTGTGCTGTTAATTGGTTGGCTGCAATTCCACTTTTGGACCTGAAGGATTCAGTGGGGTTAATGTATGAAAAGCAAATATGATGCTTACTTTGTAAGGGGATTTTAACTTAGCTTTGTGAATGAGGTGAAGCTCTGCTGACTTCCATCATCCAATCATGTGCAAGGCAAAATACATTTTTTTCTTTTCCTTGCTCACAATTGGGTATTCTTTGCAAAGTGACTTTTCACCACATTCACTAAGCTAAGGCAAAATTACCTTGCAAACTGAACAGACTATTTGCCATTAGTAAATCAAAAACAGTGTATCATTTGTATGTTGTAACAGAACTCCAAAAAAAAATAAAGATCTGTAACATGTTTTATTGTATTCTGACTGTAGGTCAGGAATGTCGCATTCTCAGTCTAAATTATACAACAATCACTTGCATTACGCCGCCAAAGCCGTCTGTGCTTCCTTCGCTCTTTCCAGGTATGTAATGTCAATAAACCTTTGCTAAGTAAACCAAAAAGACAACACATTTTCTTTGACAGTTAACATCAGACAAGAGTTGTCATTTTCAAAGGTTTATAGTCTTCAAATATTTGCTCTGACCTTTCTCCATAAAAGATCGGAATGATGCATATATATAGAATGCTTTCAATTATTTTGACAAAACACAAAGGAGAAGACGAAAAGGATTTTCGTCGGAGTCTGCAAATATTTTTTCTACAAGTGTTTATATAACAAGTACTTTTACAAGAAGGTAAACTAACATATTACAAAAGGTGAAAGAAAGGAAAAGGCTCAGACTAGGAGGGTGTGTGGTTGGAAAACACAGTGACAGTATGCAGAGACAGGAAGAAGTTCTATGGCAAAAGTTGCTGTTACACCAAAGAGAAGATATTGGTATAACGATTGCATTGTTGACATAAATGGAAAATCCACTGATAATAAAAACATTTCCATTTTGCAAAAACTCAGCTAAGAACTCTTATGTACGTTGGACGGAACACATACACCTAATTAAACAATCCCTTTGGACAATATATAAATTAATTAGAGGGTACGTGAACTCACACCATCAGGTAATGGAAACCATAATAGCTCTGGATCAGTTTTTGGATTTTTTTTTTTTAAACTGATGTTTAATGGCATTATTTTATTATGTATATAAAATCTTTATATTACAAGTAAACAGAGTTCTTCCATTATGATAAGGTAAAAGGCTGACACTGCGACCAAAGCTCTGCTGGCTTCTTCTCCCCGCTGGGGGTGTTATAGTCACAACAGCCAGCAAAAGCAAAAGGATCGCATTCCAGTAGTGCAAGAGCAGTGCAACACACTTTCCCCCTCTCTGACATGTTTCCCTCAGCCCAGCCAGATAGTTTAAACCCACCCTGGGTAAAAGGCATCAAGGTGAAATCTTGTGGGCATGTGTGTTGCGTACCTTGTTGTATAAACATACCTGTACTTGGGATGTAATGAAGGGTGACCGCCCCCCCTCCTAATTATGCAGAATTAATACACAAAAATGATTGGTAAAACCCACTCGTTTATACTGGCTTTTCACAATAACAAATGCTGTCATTTGGTGTTTAAATATTACATTTTAATAGGCTCTTATACATCATTACATTTTAAGGGGTCTATACATTGGACCAAAAAGAGAGACAACTCAGGAGAAACTAGAGAAAGAGGAATTGTATCCAAAAGGACAGTTTCTCCAAATTAGGGACTTTTGGGAGCTGTGCATTGATATAATTTCTTACATTACAAAAATCCTCTAATATGAAAACAGTGCCCAAAAGGCAAGCAGAGGTATAAGGACTAATTACTAGTATTTCATTTGGTTTTCCTCCTGATCTTTTTCCCATACCCACTTTTGCTCTGTGTGGAGACATCCATCATGGTAGAGACAAACTTTGCTTTCTCATGTCAGAACTGCCCCATCTAATGACTGGGGATCTGATCACTTGTGGGTTGATATTCAGGAAGCAGCAGGGAAGATGGAGAAAGCACAGATCCACAGAATGAATTAAACAGATACAGAAGCAGGGAGATCTTTGCAATGCAGGTTTTCAGGTACTGTTTCCTCTCCAGCAAGGAGAACAGTGAGCAGAATAATAGTGACAACACCAAATATCATTCAAAGCTTTGTGAGACTAGCAGTTAGAGGTAGAAGTGCCCTCAATTATCTCCCCCTGCAGACTTAGAGCTATGAGGCACAGGAAGTCCGCTTCTTTTTTTCAGGAGGTTTTTTTAGGGTACTGCATTAACACTTCTATATCTTCCCTATAAGATATAAGCAGATATTGACTTAAAAGGGACTCTGACATCAGAGAATAATTAAGTCTGTTATTGCTGAACGCTCCTTTTGAGAATGCTAGTTCTCCAGCCATAATGCTGATGCTTTGGCCTCGGTGTTGTGTGAGTTGGTCATTAACCCATTTCCCTACTCTCCAGAGCAAACTGTTTCTTTTTGTTTCTTAAAGAGGAACTTTACCATATTTTTGAAATGACAACAAATATACCTATAGTAATCTACAAACAGATAGTTCTAGATAATTGCAGGATTTTTATTCTTTACATACCTTATTTTTCTTTTCCACACCATTCTTCTCGCAGTGGTCATTTTTACTAAGGGCAGATTAATATATCTCCCTTTACTTCCTGGAACTCTGGCACATGTGACTAGGACATGTGACCATGCACATCATCACAGGGGAGGAAAATGCCTTTCCCTGAGATCTCATGAGATTACATATGAAATTTTTCAGCCATGCACTGCTGATGTAACCTTCCCATGATGCATTGCATGGGCACAGATTACATCACTTGTGCCCAAGAGCGCCAGGAAGTGGAAAAACAGTAAGTGTAAGTAAAATCAAAATATGTTTGTTTACCTAATGAATGTAAGATGATATCATATCAGCATTCAGAGCGGCATGCTGATGTGATTTATAATGAAAGGGGGTAAAGGTCCACTTAAAATTTTCGTGTACCATTTCTATGAATATTTAAATATATCATCCTTTGTTTTCTTTCCTTTTTGTATCAACACACATTATAAAATTCATTCTTTTTTAAAATGTATTTTATTTGTAAATAACTTAACAGTAACAGTGTAAAAAGAATTATCGACGAAGCTGGAAATACACATATTCTATATTTTCTATATATTTGGTTTTAAAAGACATAGAAAATTAACTTTTCAAATACAATATGACCAAAAAAAAGCCTTGCCAACCCCCCATAAAAAATGACATCTGTATCATAAGGAAAGACAAAGTTATTGACAAATAGATTTTTCCCCCCCCCCCCCCAGGCTAAAGGTTCACAATCCCCCAGTGGTTTTGTGGCCTTGGTCACTGGAGTTGGAAGAACAGGAAGATTTCCCCTCACATCATGTAGCAGTGACATCTCAAAATATTGGATTTTCCCTCACTTTTTGTCGCAGTGGCCATGCTCATCAGGACCAACAGAGACAATGGATCTCCACACAGACAGAAATAAAAACATGATGGGGGGTTCCAATTCTTATCTATTATATCCAAAACTAAAAAAAGTTTGGAATTTAGATATCATTTAATGCTAATTACTTGTGCTTCCTTGGGGTCTCATTGCAAGGGGCATTGCATGTAAGGTCTAAGCAAAAAAGTGTACATTTTAACAGCCCAACATCACCCCTGGCCATGGCCATACAGCTTCCTTTGCTGGGCCATGGATTTAAAAATGAACTCCATCAGATATGAGTGCAGCTTATGATTACTTACTTTTTTAGTATAGATATACTTTAAAAGATACATTCTGATTGGTTGCTTTGTAGCGTAGCATTGAGATGCAGCTTTTTATCTCCTTCTATAGGTATGGATTACAACTGGACAGTACATCTAGTGACTATGGCTCAATGGTTTGCAATGCTACTGGCACCTATGTTGGTAAGTTGTGGATTACGAGTTTGAGATTGTGAGTTTTTTTTCTTGTGGAATGTATTGAGATGGGCAGGCTTAACCAATATTGTTTTTTTGCAGGCCATCACAATATCAGTTTTATTTTGGACAGCAATTATGGACGGTGAGTTACACTTTAGATAACACATTACACCTCATATATTTCCTTCAAGGGAAAATATTGCACATCAGCACTATCCAAAGAGCTGATTTTATCTTCTGAGATAAGGATAACAGTAACAGTCGGATGCCAAGCATCTGGAATTTTCCATTACTTGGACTGAAAGCCTGATCCAGCCAAAAAACTGGCAGATTGCAGGACTATCACCTAACGGCTGTGGAAGTCCTAAGGTTTTATTGAAAGTTATGGGAGTGTCACTGATCAAAACTTTTTCAGATCAGTTTGCACGATGTCTAGCAAACAATACACACTCTTGGGTGATTTGTAATCTTTTTTTCTCACAGCAGTTGCAATGCTGATTGCACTGTTTACCATACAGACAGCATTTCAATAATGAAAATATGGCGATGATTTAAAAATAATTAATTCTTGTCACAAATGAATAAACTATTTTCTAAACTATGCACCTTTCCCTGTTATTCTGCAATGTACTAGTTGCCTCGACATGTGCAAAATTGTCTAAATGTTTTCATGAGCAGTGTCAAGCTGATTAGTCCAGTATAGACCCAACCTGACAATACCAGCAACATTTATGAGACAGCAAACACCCCTTGTATCGGTCTTTTGTTGCCCTAAAGAACTAGATTTTTGTTTTTTCCATTACAGGAGTTTACCAAGTCTATCCACCTACTTTGTGTCTTCCCTCAATAAAATTGCCATGTTCCAGACCTATGCAGGTAACAAGAATAATAATTTACCTATTTAATTAACCCTTTATATAAAAAACAAACAAAGCAAAGAACATCTTTTCCGGTACTCTTTCGTTCAGAGATAACAAGGATTTTCCCTGCTTCTGGAAGCATACAAGGAGGCACAGTTATCACCATCAGTGGACAGTACTTCGATGAGACTGACCTTCCAGCCAGAGTCCTTGTAGGAGGTATGTCCTTCTTGTTTGTAGACTACCAGCATTAAAAATGCTTTATTGTGTGGGCAACAGGGACAAATGAATTGTGTCATTCATACTATTGCCTAGAACTGCAATGCATCATACACTCAAATATTTATGCAACTCTTTCAGCAGTAATGTACTATAACACCAATCGGTTCAAAGGGATTTTAAGTGAATTAGCACTGACCCTCAATATAGGGTCAGTGCTATAAGATCCTATACAAATATCAACCATACCCCATGGTTAGCAGGAAGAACAGTGAACCTGCTCTTACCCCAACCAACCTGCCCTTACCTGCTGTGTAGAAAGGAGACAACAGTCCATTTGTGTATCCTTTTGGTTTATGTCCAGTCCAATCCCAACTGCAGCCTTCCTAAGATCCTATACAAATATCAACCATACCCCATGGTTAGCAGGAAGAACCCTGTGGACTGTCTTTCTATTCTGGCAATTGGTTATTCAGGC